TCAATTGGGCGAACAAAGCAAACTAGTGGTCAACATTACATGAATGGATCACTAAAGACCAGTGATGACACCGGGTGTCAGCATGTCCTGCCCTACCGGACATTCGTTTGTCCAAGTTAATTGAGCTGGGTCCCATCAAACGTTCGCAAATTGTAAAATATATTGTGAAGATGCAAGATGTTTTTGTTGTTGGTTCGTTGTTTAACACCACGTTCAGCAATATGCTAGCTATATGACGGCGGTCTGTAAATAATCGAATCTGGACTAGACAATTCAGTGATTGGCATCATGAGCATCGATACACGCAATTGGGATATGATGAAATATGCATCAACCAAGTCAGCGAACCTGACCATCCGATTCCGTTAGTCGTCTCTTGCGACAAGCATAGTCGCCTTTTACGGCAAGTATGGGTTGCTGAAGACCTATTCTACCCCGGATCTTCACGGATCAGAAGCGAGATGAAAACAAAGAGGAGGCAGCTAACAGAAGATGAAGTGAGGCAAAACGGACACAACCCTTTCCATAATGGTAAAAGAAAACTCTGCTAAGAAACAGTGTATGATTCCGACTATATCATTAGTATGTGTGAATATACCAGGTGTTTGCGAAAAGGTGAGAGTATCCCTTGTGTGTGTGTGTGTGTGTGTGTGTGTGTGTGTGTGTGTGTGTGTGTGTGTGTGTGTGTGTGTGTGTGTGTGTGTACGTTCGTCTGTTAATCTGTATGTCTATAGTCTATACGTTTGTGTGGATATCTGTGTACATGTGTGTACTTTCATGTGTTTACGTCTGAGTGCAAATGCGTGTCTGTACGTATATACGTATGTTCATCCGTGTGTGTGTCTATGTTAGATTGCATGTGGTGTACATCGTGTCTTTATCAACATGCTATCACAATTACATATGCGAACAAAATATAGGCATAATTCAAAACACACAAAACAATAACTAACTTAATTATAATAACAAGTATACTCACACGCAAAAGAAACGCAAGTCGAGTTTGCAGTATACATGTTATTTATTTTCAACAGTAAAGACAAGGAATACTTATAGGGCAAGATTGACAAACATTTGACTGAAGACAGCTCAACGGATTAAAAGGCAGATGACATAATTGTTTGTCTCAAATGTTGAGGGCTTACACAGTTTCGGGTCAATACCAAAAATGTCAGTCAATACCTGGTGTGACCAACATTAGCATTTATCACTGCCACACATCTCCTGTACATTGAGTGGATCAGACGATTTGTGAAGGCCCTAGCGATCCTCCTGCACACATCCAGAGCAGCTGTGCGTAGTTCTCCAGTTGTAGGGACTGAGCGCACAATGTGCAGACGCCTTTGAACCTCATCCCACAAGTGTTCGATGGGGTTCAGATCAGGGCTGAGGGCTGGCCACGGTAGAACACGGATGTTGTGTTGTTGCAGAAAGGTCATGGTAGCTCTGGTAACATGTGGACGAGCGTTGTCCTGCTGAAAAATGTGTTCTGGATGTTGTGCAAAAAATGGAACAACGTGGGGTCTGATCACTTGGTCGATATACAGCTGAGCAGTGACGCCTTGTCCCCGACCTTGACCAATATTCAGAAAGCACATGGGTCCAAGTATCGCATTAAGTCTAATGCCCATATCATGATGCTAGGTCCATCCCATGGAACCCTTTCCACAACGTTTCTGTCAGCGAAACGATCACCTCGACGCCGCCAAATTCTTACTCTTCCCTCTGCATGGGAGACACAAAAGCGACTTTCATCAGAGAATATGACACGCCTCCACTCACGATGACGCCAAGTTTGATGACCCTGTGCCCGCTGAAGTCGTGCTTGTCAATGCCGTGGTTGGAGAACAGGACTACGTGCTGGTCGGCGACATGTGAGGTTGTTGGAACGGAGACGTCAGATAACAGTGTCCCGGCTAATGTGTCGATTATGTGTTCCTATGGTCTGTCGAGCACTTACAAAATAGAACACGTGTTTGATGTACTGGGTTGGGATGGAGTAGTTGGTGGACACCACTGTGGAGGTGGTTGTCATAACGATGCTGCTGCGGTTGGGGCTAATGATGTGGATGTTGATGCGAATGTGGATGTTGTTGCTGCGGTTGGGGCTGATGATATGGCTGTCGATGCGAATACGACTGTTGTTGCAGAGGCTCTTGAGGAAGCTGTTGAAGAGGGAGTTGCTAAAATGTTGTTGGGATGTTTGTTTTGAAGATGGTTGTTGCTCAAAACCTCCTTCTGGTTCCTTCTTGGGAAGAGGTGTTAGTGTGTCCTGTTCGTCAGGGATTTCTTCTGAAGACGGGAATGGTTCTTCCATTGCCTCCCCTTTACCAAACGCTATGGTATCCGGCACATATTGGTCTGGCTTAGTCAACAATTCATCAAATCTCTCCTCATCCCACTTTTCCTGTACATATTCATCCTCCGCGATCACAGCTGCATCCATTCTGCCCATCTCTTGCAGTGCTGTCAGCACAGCGTATGTGGCTTCCCTCGTCGCGTACCATTCATTCAGCATGGCCATACGTGGGTCGTGCATCTGAGCCCAGCTCCTGATGTCATTATTGGTGTAGCCAAGACGTCTAGAGAGAAGTGTCCAGTCCAGAAGGTCTTCAGGGTTGAGCAGTTTGGCCACGTCTCTTGACCAGAAGGGAGCATGACTCAATGTCTGTGGGAATGATGAAAAGGATATTGGCGATGCCTTTATGAAAATGAAGTTCATTTCACAGTTCATTTCATGGTAATTATGTTATGCATCGGCAAAAGTATAGGTGCAATTGTGACAGATTCAACATTGTACATATTTATTTTATTCACCTTCAGTATCTGCTTTTAAGTGTTCAACTTTTATGTTTAATCATTTGTTAAGATAGATTAGATGTACTTAATGTGTCCTTCATGTTGTAAGCCTTAACAAACCCAAGCCAAGACGTGCTCAACTGATTGGCCAAGCTAACCCTCAAAGTTGACCCTTTGTCTTACTGCATGTTCTCAGTCTGCACACAATTCCTGCACAGAAAAGTTGACAGGTGAAATCATCTAAAATCAGGTTAGTTTAATATATATGTGTATACTTGTATGTTATTGCAGTTAAATGTTGCAGTATATTAAACATATAATACTAAACTTTAACTAAACGTGTTTGATACCACATATTCTCAGTTGCAACCTATTTAAGTCAATGTGGTAAACAAGACTTCTAAATTGTAAGCTTTGGTAATTACTAATATATCACTTTTCTGTCTCTTTATTCTTGTATGTATGAGGAAGAGTGTATGTGTTGTTTTATGGAATAGGCTATGTTTTAATTGCTTTTGTGATCAGTTCTGTATAATATACAATCTGTACTATACGGGATCCGGAGAAATATTTTAACATGTACGTAAATAGTTGTATTAGTCATTGTTATAAAAGTATATGGTTTATTCAGATCACCGGAATTATAAGTTTCGGCGCTAGTCGGGAAGACACCCAAGTCTCACCCACAGGGTAGGCACATAATAACTTGTATAGTCAGTTTTCTATATTACACCATAAGTGTGTCACACCTGTAAAGTCATGTATATGTATGTATTTTGGAAGAGATTTATAATCGCTTCACACTTAGATAATATAATATTTGAATAATTTTTCTATTTGGTTCTTACATCAGTTTGCAGATCATTGTACAGTGTAACTACTATTATATGAATAAGATGTGTTTGTAATGTAAAATGGTTTGTAATACTGTGATGTCGATGATTGCATTATGTATATTGTTCATATTACTTATCATTCCTTTAATATACGTCTCTCACCCGTAGCGAGTGTTTGGCTATCACATCATTCACTGCCCTGCTACACAATTATTTTCTGTAATTCTCACTACGTTGTTTTGCCTCTTGCTGATTGGTCACGTCATCTTAACGTATTATCGCAAATAATTCAAATTCAGGTAAAGCAAACAAACAAACCAGTCAGAACATTAGAGCCTGCATCACATAGTGATCATCAGTGTTCCCAGTACTCCACAGGTGTGCTGACATTTTGCGGCCTCATGTCTGTGCGCCTCAAAGCAATCTTAGCTCTACGATGTTCGTAAGCCTATGTTAAAGTATGGGACTTACAATCACCTCGTAAATTCTCCTACCTCCCTATCTGTAGCTCAACACTGTGATCCACGCTGTCTTCCAGCGTATGAACTGAAACCGGTCGGCTTCCCTTACAATTTAGCTGAACGCCATACTGGGGATAAACCTATCGCGTGATTGCTGTCTATGTCATGCAACTAATGACTGCTACCGTAGTTACGTGTAAGCGTATTCCTCCACGCTAGCGGGGGCCTGACTGATCAATGTTGTGCACTGAACAGAACTGCGACGCGTGTAACTTAAACCTAGCATTCTTTCTGAGTTGAAATAATGTGGTTTGCGCCTCTCTTATCAATATTTAATGACGGGGACATCAAAGGCTTCATACAGTGTACACCCGTGATGATCTGGGGTAGAATAGGCCTTCAGCAACCCATGCTTGCCGTAAAAGGCAACTAACGGGATCGGGTGGTCAGACTCGTGGACTTGGTTGATGCATATCATCGTGTTGCGTGGATCGATGGTCATGATGCTGGATTGTCTGGTCCAGACTCGATTATTTACGGACCGCCGTCATAAAGCTGGAATATTGCTGAGTGCGGCGTTAAACAACAAACAAACAAAAGCTGTTCAGCCTCCATCGCGCATCACGGTGTGAGGAATGTGACTCAGGTCGTATGTGGCTGCCGTTTTTTTAAGTCAGTCGATATCTGAACTTGCACATTTCATGTGTAGGGTTGACGTTGCTAAGAAACAAGGACGAAATACCTGAGGATTTACTGATTGAAGTTTGTGGCGTTCACGTAGGATAATGTTTTAAGTGAACACCAAGACAACAACTAAATTGCGTTTCACTTTGGGGAAAATATTTTTACGAGTGAGACACCGTCTCAGGTAACAAAAGGAAGGACCCAACTGAGTTTCACTATTAAGAATATTTTATTATTACCAAAACCTACAATTATTCAATATTAACACAATTTCGATTACAATCTGGCAAACTAACATTTCTATTGCAAAGCAAAATAGGTGAAAACTCATTGTGATACAGAAACACTAGCTACCAATCGGACACAATCTGGATCCTGGTAACAAATATATTCCGATCAGTTTGATTAGCCAACGACAGATTGTGCACAGACTCAGTCTGTGTCGACTAACAGGGATCAACTTTCCTGTCTCTCACAAATGACCGACATGGTCGAATACATCACAAGACTCACTGGCAGGAATGTCACAGACCGATATGGTCAATACAGAGACCTAGTAAGTGTGGACATCCTGGACCCGTCTCAGCTCGCAAAAAAAAAACTCTCTCTCATGCCTGGAGGTAGCTATACACAATCTGGCCCCTGCTAGCTCAGTAACAAGTCTACAAGCCTCTAAAACAATACACCATACCTTGCTACTCAATGTGGCGAGCTTACCAATCCTTCACAGTGGCAAAGCTAATCAATCACAGGTCAACCTTGGGTCCACCTATACTATATCCCCAATAACCACTTTGGTTACAACACATGGTCAATATACATAATGCTCACATATAACAATATGTATCTCTAGCAGGTGAGATAGCAAAGTAATCAGGGAGATCGACGAGTATTGTATTGTGGGAGGTTGACTATCATCCAGAGGTTGTAAACAGTAGGATCCATGGTTGAAAAGGGCCTACGAGGACAAAAAATAACGTCAGTATACCCATCAGTGGTATTACTTTAACTATTTGCCATGGCCATGACACGAAGTTTTAAACAAAATGCTTGATTTAAGCCAGAAGCTTGATAATTGTATCGAAAAAAATTCTTTGGAAAGTATAAACTGGCTGACAATGTAAACGATGTTAACGATATCTGTCGACCTTGAAGTAAACAATTTTGCTTATAGCCTCCTATAACTATAACATTGACGAGTACGTCTGAAAATTAAGCTAGTCTGATCAACTGATCACTTTGACTGACCGAAGTAATACTAAAATTCCAAAAAAGCTAGACAATCACGCGAATGTTGGTTATCTATGGATTACTAGAAAAATGAAGCATTGGAAACTCTAGCTTCTAAGTTCTTAGTTCAGTACAACCAGAAAAACAAAACAAGTTCTGTGTCTTTATCCTGGTGGGTAAAGACACAAGAACCCAACAGAAGTATGAATATGCTGCGCAACCGAGGAAAACCACAGGCTGGGGCGCTTAGTCAAACTGTGTTTCTAAACATATTGAAAACACGAAAAGCAAACCAACTACTATATCCATATTGAAGATGTAAGTATCAAAATAAAGCGCTGAATATAAGCTATCCAACAGTATCATTAAAGATATACAACAAGCTATATACACAATTATTTATGAGGCAAAAATTACATAAATACATGAAAAATATCTGAGAGTACATATAAATACCCCTAATGTTTGAACATCATAGTTACAAAAACATTTTCAATACATGAATACATGATTTGAGAGTGTCATTAGATTACAAGAGAATGAAATTGTTGGGCCACTAATTCCTTAACACAGAATGTAATGACACCATACAACGATGACCGCCGGACTTTGCCGAGCAGTTACGGAAATAAAGCCAGGGAGCAGAGGGGTCTCTAAAGACATCATAGTTAAACACATCATACACTGGCCTGTGGTTGCATGGTCGTCATCTGTACTCCCAGGGCGTTTGCAGGCCTTTGATGGAAGGTTGTTATAGTTGGAAGTAGTAGCCTGCCACTTGGCCAACAATTATGGCTTCAGTATGGATGAACATTAATCAACATGAAACACCGTTTCTTATACGTCCATGAAGATTTCTATTAAACATTATTTGCAGCAGCGTTACTGTGCTCCTGATCACGTACGTTGATGGCAGAGGATCTTGTACATATATATCTAAATGTATGTGTATTTCTTTGCACGTTACGTGCATATGTCATACTACTTTGTACAAAATGCCAACACAAGACCCACAATCCCTGCCAGTATTCCTATTATAATCAAGGTGCGTGTACCATGAATTCTTGTATTCATGCCAAATAGTTCAAACAGCGGCAGAACATCCTCGAACGTGTGCTCCAGTGTATACATGCCTGGCTCCACACTACTTTGCCTGTGGAGGACTACCTGTTCAGGTTTCACCAGTTTGTTCCCCACCAAGATTGTCTGTTTTCCATGCAAGTGTTCCTCCACATATCTTTTGAACTCCTCCTTCCCATTGATGGAACTATTTTCATATAGTTTGTTCATGTGACTGTAAATGGCTCTACATGTTTCGCACAGTTCCGTATTGGGTGGTCTTAGACCTTCTTGTATTGACTCCGAAACAGAAAGGAGTTGCGCTGTAACACTTTCAAGGGTAACTTCACAACTGTTCTTCACTTGTAGCAACTGAAGAGCATCAGAGATTATCTCTTCACTATTGTCAAAATCCAGTTCAGATTCATCCAAAATCAGATGGGTACATCCAACCAAATTCACTGTGTCCTCTCTGAACATTTCCTTTTGGGGCTGACAGACCAGAGTCTGCTTCATCAGCCTTCCAAACGAACTTCCATGTCTTGGGACGTTGAAGCACTGGCAGAAACCTGATTTTTAAAAGTTTTTGAAGAATAACTGGTGGGCATTTTGTGAAGTTCTTATAGCGTGGATTGACGTGGCATCCCAGATACTGTAATAGATTCTTACACCTTTGAATTGCCTTTTGATAATCTGTAAAGTACAATTCAGACACTGTACTCGCCCTTTCTACATATATCTTCCAGGGCAAATTATCTTCTATCATTCCAGCTAGACACAGACCTTCAAGAACTGACCACGTCCTGAAACGTTTGTCTGGGAACATGTCATCTTCTTCTGAGAACAGGCTAGCACATGCCCTAGATGGACAAATGCAATCCTGAGGTCGTCTTAACGTGCCCTTATGAGATGTTGGGATGCATTTCGTAGCCTTCACTTGCTGATTGGTTGCATTGTCATTGTATTGTATAGCAGAGATGGTCAGAGAGACCCTGTCTCTTGGTAACCAATATTCATTCTCAAAATTAGGGAAAAACACATCACAGTAGAATGTTTGACTTGCCACACAGCGATTCTTGGCACAACCTCTCTCCTCGATGAGACACGCAATGACATTGTTTGGAATGTCTACAACAACTTTACTTTTACCTTTCCAAAAGTTTACCAAAGCTTTTAAAGCAATGTCTCCTATGTTTGGTTGGTTTCTTATGGATGTATCCAGATACCAGATCGTATTGAGAGGCAATCTTTGTTTTGTACTTCCTTCAACAAAGACTTCATGTTTCTCATCAACAATCATTTTGTAGAAACTTGACCCCAAACAGTCCATCTGTTCTTTACTGGTGGGCCACAGCTGGTAATACTCTGCTGTTGATACTGAGTTCAAGTCTATGTATTTCAATGCAGCAATGAATGCTCTGGGCACAACATCACGAAGTAAGATGTCGTTCCATACAACTCCATGTATGGTCTTGTCATCCTCCGTCCTTTTAAGTAGCTCTCTTCTGTTTTCACTGAGTGCAAATGTTGCATTGATATGAAATGGAAATGGATTTTCTATTGGTAGTGGAAGGAAAGTGAAGAGATGTCCCTTTCTGTAGAACCCAAAGGGACACATGCTCAGCTTTGTCATCGGTATGGCAACTGCAGCCAGGGGGAGCAAATCTTTCAGTACTCCAGATAATGCAAACGTGTAGGACTCCTTTCCACCTGTGTTCCATACAATAACCCACTCCACCTTTGCTCGCCCCCCACTATGTTCCAGGTTCAACTCTTTTATGTTGTTGGAAAGATCTATTTCAATGTCGGCCCTTTGAGCTACTGATAAGCTCTCGTTTTTCTGTGCTAGTCTTTGCCATTTTTTTGACGCATAAACCAAAATGTTTTCACTTTTTAATTTGTCACCTCGTGGTAGGATGGCAGGTGATATTTTAACATGCTTTACTACGTCTACCAACAGCTGTGGTACTCGAGGATCTCCTTCAGAGGGCACAAACAAAAACTTCAAAGATTTCACATTCTGTGTGAACAGAAGGAGGTTTCCACAGGCATCAACAAACTTTTTGAAGAGAGACTCTACCTCTGTCCTCGTGTAACAAGTATTACTAATGTCACTTTTACGTGCCTGCTCTTCTGTCCTTAGTGGTAATCGGAATAAAGTGCCATTGCAGATTACCTCTCTATTGAAGTCACAACCAAACACACCCTCGAATGGTTTAAATTGATTCCTCATTGTAGCTTTGTTTCTAGCACTTTTCAGATTTGCTTTCATTCCTGGTTTTTCCAAGTAAGAGCCACTTGGGTCAAGAATAACCATTGTATTTCCACTGATGATACTTGGAACATCTGTCAGATTGTAGACAGAGGTAAACCCTAACCCAAATTTTCCTATCGTGGAAGTATCTGCATGTTTTGTGGCTCCACCTAACTTTATCAAATTCTTAAAGTCTGTGTCCTTAAAGGTAGCATTGTTAAAAGACCAGAGTGCAGGCCCTTGTAATGAAGCCATTTCACTTTTGATCAGAGACGATCTTGCATCCCAATTTTGTCGCTCATCATACAGAAAACATACTTCAGTAGCACCAGCATCATCTGCGTTTTGAATCATTTCTTTTGGAATGGACAGTCCATCAACATATGCATGAAGTAAAGAGTTCAGACGTCTAGTTAAAGATTCTGACTGATGATAATCATAGTCTATATCATCCAAGATATTTACTCCAAGCATTTGTGCAGTATTTTTGGAAATAGATTTATGAAGAAAGTGAACACCAGCCCCTTCATCCTCTGACTCCTCATTCAGCCAGTCACTGTATGTACATTCTTCAACATGCAATAGAGTCAGACACGAGTTGTCCCCTTGTTGGATTGGAAGAAAAATAGTTGCGGGCTTTTCTTGTTCTTCTGACAACCTGTTGACAATTTGTAGAACAAGTTGTGAATCTTTCTGAACTTCTGATTGTCTGGAGGAATTGTCTTCTCTAAAAGCACTCGCTTCTCTGTATGTGTCATGTTTCGATTTGATTTTTTCAAGCACACCTGCAAGTAACTGAGGTGTAAGTTCCTGGTTACACCCAAGTGTCAACATCAAACTGCGCCAATGATGAAATACAGATGGAAGAGCAAATAGGTAAGGTTTTAAATCCATGTCTTTAGTCATCTGATCTATGAATACAGATGACGGATGCTGAAACCTTTCATCTATTCCTACCCATACTGAGGGGAATTCACTAAGCAGTTGGATGTGTTCCTTGGACAAGCTCACTGATGACAAATGCTTGTAGACATTGTGCAGCAGGGTCATGTACAGGTGGTGTGCCTGACTATAGTATGATGCTGAGAGATTCCGTAAATGTTTAATGACAGAGGTAACTGGAGGAGGAACATCCAACCCAAATAATACTTCCAATGGTTCTGACATTTCTTCAGCTACACTCATGGTAGATCCGACTACGTGCAGGTATTTAGAACTACAAACAATGTTTGATGTTCCAAGCATTCTCATTTCTCCCGGAAACTGAAGTCGACCTGGATAGAAATCTGGCTTCTGTGAAATACATGGGATGCACTGAAGACCCTGTATGTTAGTTAGAGAATCTGGGTCAAAGTTCTTTTCATGATGAGTGAGAAACAAAACAAGACCCCTTGCTTTCAACAATGCGTCCTCTTTACTGGAAGCATTCAAACTTTGTATAATGTTTGCTGTTGTTACAAGTTCTGCAGCTGTCACCTCTTCTTCCCTTCGTAACCCCAACAGCGTCAGACCTTGCTTCAGCTGCCTGGTTCTGACATGTCTTGAGTGGGGGAATTTGTCCTCACCTATGAATAGCTGTGTCAAAAGAGATGATGCAGGGTCAAACAGCTGGCATGCTTGGAACGTTGTTGATCCTTTCTCAGATGAAAGAAATTTCACTCCCCATGCTAGGTTTGCAACTTCATCATTTTCAAGCAGATAAGGGCAAGACAATATCAAGAACTCCATGAGCATAAGAAGATCCCTATCAGCCATTCCCATGGGATTTCCTTCAATGATGCTTTGTAAAGTGAGTATGACTGCTGCATCCAGTTTTATTTGCGATGCCCCTAGAGACACAGCTAGCGACCTTACAGCTCTGGGGGTAGACACTAGATAGACCTCAGAGTAAGGGATTGGAAATGGGGGTTCCAAAACAGGTGCCAGAATGCCCACATCTTCTAAACACTTTGACGACCCATCAGTTGCCATGAACATTTGAAGACTCCTTAAAATATCCTTTGACTTTGTGAAGTCTGTTGTACTTTCTCCCAAAAAACAAGTTAAGCTGTTTCTTTCCTCATGGGTTGCCTCTGTGTTGAATTGATTGATCTTTGTCTGTATATTGTCATTCTCTGACACAGCATCTAGGACTTTCATGACACCGCTATGGGTCGGGTACTGTATTATCACTCCAAGAATATTCTTGGGTGTAATGTCTGAAATGCTTTTTAACACTACAACACCAAGCCTCCTCAGACAATCAGCCATGTGCTTAGGGAGTGAACTCACGCCATCTACCATCTCAACAATAAGTGGCTTTTGTAGTTCATGTACACGTGTTTTACCTTGCTCTTGTAATTCTGGAATAAGAGGCAGTGACCCAAACATACTACCAAGCTGATCACAGGAATAGCTCTTGTTGATGTAAGTCCACACTGTCCTCAACCAAGTGTCATCAACAGGTAGATGTAGATATTTGGGGTTGTTTTCACCGAAATGTTGTGCAACACATCTCTGCAGAAGACTTGGAAATACGGCACTGGTTATCAGGCCCACGTTGAGAAGATCTGGAAATCAATATGAAATGCAATTAAATACTCCAATATTACCAAATGGGCACATGAAAAAGTATTTCACTGAAATTCAAACTAATTCGAATCTAGCAAACGCATTGAACAATTGTGCAAAGTCAAAAGTTGATTCAGAATCTGTTATGTTTAGTTGTGATAATTCAAACACTGATCGGTTCAGAATTGTTTAGTTCATAAAGACCTTGAGTTTGTATTTATTTCAGGCCGACACAATTTTATAGGTGTCATGTATGACATAAAAACGTTCTCTCTGTGTGTTTTAAGTAGTTTTAACTTGGTCATGAACATTGAATTGCCCTGATGGTAATGTGAAATTTGTATAACATCATTCAGAGGCTTGCCTGAATCTTCTCTGTTCATGCACTGATTATGATACATTATTATTGTTCATATGGTGCTGTCATCTTAGTTTTTCTATGATTCTCTTTAATAAGTTTTGATTTAACATTAGAATATTGCATTATCTACCTCGATTCTCTTCACTTTGTAAGACTTGGTCAAGTTCAGGTGATGCCACAGTGTCCACTAGCATGGATTCAAGGCCAGGAAACAAAAACTCTGAATCAATAACATCCGTCCAAATGTATACATGTCCCTTTCCAATTTCTGTGAAACATCCATCCATTGTAGGCAAAAGGTGTAATCCACGTAAGAAGGCTACACATCCACCGGATAATATATACTTCAGCAAAATCCTCTTTTTGGGCGGAGATAGACATCTTATGTAACAGTCATTTGATGTCAGAAGTGAGCAGACACGTTCACTTGAAACCTTTGTTAAGGATGTGCACATTATGCATTCCAACAATGCCAAAACGTTTCCAGGCAAATCAACAATGTTTTGATTACACCAAAGATAAATATCCTTGACAACATCTTTGACATCAATAGCCAAGCTGGAATCAAGCACAGTGGCACATTCGGCTGTCATCCAACATCCACCAGCATTTTCTGTGAACAAGATTGGAATGTTTTGCAGTTCTCTTAAAACTCCATCCACCATTGGTTTCCAATGTACACTGACATTTTCTTGACTTGGAACCAAGGAATACACCTGCTGTATCAGGTCATCTGGATTCTGTTCCTGTTGAGAATGCTGAATCAGCTCGTTTAGAATATTACAATAAACCTCTGGTAGCACTTCACTCACAAGACACTTGTTCCACTCAATATCCTTGTCTGTATGAGACTGATTCTGTAGCTGATCTGCTGTTGGCCATTTGATATGCCTTCGATTTTGACTTAAGGCAAAGCAGCCATTTACATGAACCTGCAGACCTGTGGGACTGTGACTCTCCAGGGGAAGAGGGAGGAAACAGAACACATGACCTTCACATTTCTTACCAAGTGGAACAGCCAGGCCCACACGCGGATACTGTGACATTTCCTTGCAGAGTCTTTGTAGTCTTTCAGACATATCTCTGGCTTTGAACACATTGAGAATTACCCATTCCTGGCTTAATATTTGTGACTTTATGAAATCTTCAGTTTCTATCTCAACATTAAGTCTGTTTTCAATGGAAGGGCATGTCAATTCACAGTCAATGCGTTTCACTTTTGTGGCAAAATCCATCCTTTGACGTTTAACAGATGCTAAACAGCTTTTTGAAAGCTGTACACAGAAAATCACCTCTTCTGTAGCTGCATGCTTCTGGAATAATTGAACTTTGTGTATGGAATTGAGAAAAAGGAGTGTTACTGGCGCCTCCGATCTCAGCGCCCGAAATAGGTCCATAACACTCTCTTCTGTATATATATTTCCAGAAAGTTGTGATGTTTGAACCCTCAGAGGAAACCAAAATAGAGTTCCGTCATAACCAGCTGTCAAACACTTGTCTGAGAACCCAAATGTACCACTCAGGACCTGACTTAAAATATCTTTCACTCTATCTGTTAGATTCTTTAACTTTTTGGCGAAACACACTTTATGTGCTACTTCTTCTGGATTAATGAAAAGGATGTGGTCACCGCTGATGATACATGGATAATCTGAAATATATAGCAAAAAGTTTAAAAGGATGATTCATTTGTATTAATCATGCATGGCTATGGCCTTTATGATGGAGGATTGATCCCACTAGCAGCTGACTGTGTCTGGAAAGAGTGTTACTACCAAGTGCACTATTTGGGGTCAACAAATGATGACGATGTCGAATTGTCCTTTATCCTTGGTGGACATATTGACCATCTAACCTTCAATATGTTCAAGGAATGAACGTTTATTCTCTCGAAATATCTCTACAAATGGGGGACATCACTTTTCACCACATTATGTATTGTAATTCTATTCATGTGAATATGTTTCTGAGTTGTAACTCCTAGAAAGGAAATTCTAAACTAGGGAATAGAAATATTATAAACAGGCTGCTTTGGAAATGTGCATTTGCGATTTGCAAGTTTAGTACTAACCTGTAATATGGAATACAGATTTGAAACCAAGTCCGAATTGTCCTATATTCTGTGACTCATTCTTGAGGCTAGTATGCAACATTCTGATACCTGCCCAATCCTTCTTCCTGAATAGAGCATCATTGAAGACACACAACGCAGGACCCTGCCAAAGAATGGATCAATTTATTTGAAAGTTTGATGAAGTCATTTACACCTATTGGTAACAGTGAACATGTTGTCCTCGGGACACACAAATGAATAAGAACACACAACCCTTAATTAGACCATTTCTCCCATTGTATTTAGTTATGGTTAAAGACTTAAATCCAACATTAGAATGACATGGTAAAACCAAGACTGGCAAGAAGAGATATTTACATAAGCAATTTTATTCAGGTTGTTGCTATTTGCACATTTCTACCTCAAACCCGATTTAAACACTAATTGAGAACATTGCCTGTCCATGTGATATAAGAATCTGTACCTGCAAAGATTTCAGGAAAGTGTTCTGTTTCAATTCCTGGGGATCTATTTCAGGACGAATATTCCTTCCATCAAACATGATGTTGACAACTTCGGCTCCAGCATCTTCAGCATTCTGTATCAGCTCCTGCAAAGAGTTATATCATACCGTTATTATGTTATCATAGTTATATGATATTATCATAGCTACAGCAGCAATATATATCTCATTATAAGATCGTCTTGGTTCTGGTTTAACAAAGACTTACTGTGAGTATCTGCACATCACCTAGGTACAGGTCCAACACTGACTCACCTTTAGTGTCTCCCCATCACCTGGGTAATGGTCTAACACTAACTCAAGATAATGTGTCCAACATTTGGGACCTGGTACAACATGGGTACTCTGCCCATCACTTGGGTCCGTGTCCAACATAGACTCACCTAGAGTATCCTCACCTGATTCATAATAGATTTACCTTGAGTATTTCCCAATCACCAAGGTAATGGTCTAACACAATATCATGATAATGTGTCCAACAGGTGAGTACTGGTCCAACATCGACTCTCGCTGAATATCTCCCCAACAATTGGGTACTGATCAAACATGTGGGAACTGCTCCAACATAGACTCACATTGAGTATCTTCCCAACAATTCCGTTCTGATCCAACATGTGGGTACTGGTCCAACAAAGACTCACATTGAATATCTCCCAAACAATTGGGTACTGATCTAACACGTGGGTACTGGTCAAACATAGACTCACATTGAATATCTCCCAAACAATTGGGTACTTATCCAACACATGGGTACAGGTCCAACAAGGACTCACATTGAGTTTCTCCCAATCAACTGGGTACTGATCCAACATGTGGGTCTTGCTCCAATATAGACTCACATTGAGTATCTCAGCAATCAATCTTGTACTAATAAAACACGTGGGTACTGGTCCAACATAGACTTACATTCAGTATCTCCCCCACAATTGGGTACTGATCCAACACGCTGGTACTGGTCCCACATACACTCATATTGAGTATCTCACCAATAGGTGGGCACTGATGAAGCAAGTGGATACTGGTCCAATATAGTCTTACATTGTGTATCTCCCCAACAATTGGGTACTGATCCAAGGCGTGGCTACTGGTCCAACACAGACTGACATTGAGTAACTCCCCATCAAAAGGGTACTGATCCAAAACGATGGTACTGGTCCCACGTACATAGACTCACATTGAGTCTCAACAAAAGCTGGCTTCTGATCCAGCAAGTGGGTACTGGTCCAACATAGTCTCGCATTGAGTATCTCCCCACCAATTGGGAACTGATCCAACACGGGAGTAATAGTCCAACATAGACTCACATTGAGTATCTCCACTACGATTGGGTACTGATCCAACACGTGGGTTATGGTCCAACATAGACTCATATTGAGTATCTCCCCAACAATTGGGTACTGATCCAACACGGTGGTACTGGTCCCACATACCCTCATATTGATTATCTCCGCAATAGGTGGGTTCTGATCCAGCAAATGGGTGCTGGTCCATCATAGCCTCACATTAAGTATCTCCTCAACAATTGGGCACTGATCCAACACTTGAGTACTGGTCCAAAATAGACTCACATTGAGTGTTTCCCCAACAATTGGGTACTGATCCAAAGCATGGGTTATGGTCCAGATAGACTCACATTGAGTATCTCCAACATTTGGCTACCGATTAAACTCGTGGGTTGTGTCGAACATTGACTCACATTGTGTAACTCCCCATCAATTGGGTACTGATCTAGCACGTGACCACTGGACAAATATAGACTCACAATGAGTATCTCCCCATCAAGTAGGTACTTATCAAACACGATGGTACTGGTCCCACATACCCTCATATTGAGTATCTCCCCAATAGGTGGGTTCTGATCAAGCACGTGGGTACTGGTCCAACAAAGCCTTAATTGTGTATCTCCCCAACAATTGGGTACTGATCCAAGGCGTGGCTACTGGTCCAACACAGACTGACATTGAGTAACTCCCCATCAAGTGGGTACTGATCCAAAACGATGGTACTGGTCCCACGTACATACACTCATATTGAGTATCTCACCAATAGGTGGCTTCTGATCCAGCAAGTGGGTACTGGTCCAACATAGTCTCGCATTGAGTATCTCCCTAACAATTGGAAACTGATCCCACACGGGAGTAATAGTCCAACATATACTCACATCGAGTATCTCCACTACAATTGGGTACTGATCCAACACGTGGGTTATGGTCCAACATAGACTCATATTGAGTATCTCCCCAACAATTGGGTACTTATCCAACACGCTTATACTGGTCCCACATACACTCATATTGAGTATCTCCCCAATAGGTGGGTTCTGATCAAGCACGTGGGTACTGGTCCAACAAAGCCTTAATTGTGTATCTCCCCAACAATTGGGTACTGATCCAAGGCGTGGCTACTGGTCCAACACAGACTGACATTGAGTAACTCCCCATCAAGTGGGTACTGATCCAAAACGATGGTACTGGTCCCACGTACATACACTCATATTGAGTATCTCACCAATAGGTGGCTTCTGATCCAGCAAGTGGGTACTGGTCCAACATAGTCTCGCATTGAGTATCTCCCTAACAATTGGAAACTGATCCCACACGGGAGTAATAGTCCAACATATACTCACATCGAGTATCTCCACTACAATTGGGTACTGATCCAACACGTGGGTTATGGTCCAACATAGACTCATATTGAGTATCTCCCCAACAATTGGGTACTTATCCAACACGCTTATACTGGTCCCACATACACTCATATTGAGTATCTCCCCAACAATTGGGTTCTGATCCAGCAAGTGGATATTGGTCCAACATAAACTCAAATTGAGTGTCTTCCAAACAATTGGGTACTGATCCAACGCATGGGTTGTGGTCCAAAATAGACTCACATTGAGTATCTCCCCAACAATTGGGTACTGATCCAACACGCTGGTACTGGTCCCACATACACTCATATTGAGTATCTCCCCAATGAGTGGGTTCTGATTCAGCAAGTTGGTACTGGTCCAACATAGCCTCACATTGAGTATCTCCCCAACAATTGGGTTCTGATCCAGCAAGTGGGTACTGGTCCAACATAGACTCGCATTGAGTATCTCCTCAACAATTGGGTACTGATCCAACACTTTAGTACTGGTCCAAAATAGACTCACATTGAGTGTTTTACAAACAATTGGGTACCGATCCAACGCATGGGTTATGGTCCAACATAGACTCACATTGAGTATCTCCAACAATTGGCTACCGATCCAATTCGTGGGTAGTGTCGAACATTTACTCACATTGTGTATCTCCCCAACAATTTGGTACTGATCCACCACGATGGTACTGGTCCCACATACACTCATATTGAGTATCTCACCAATAGGTGGGCACTGATCAAGCACGTGGGTACTGGTCCAACATAGACTCACACTGAGTATCTCCCCCAACAATTGGGTACTGATCCAACACGTCGGTTATGGTCCAACATAGGCTCATATTGAGTATCTCCCCAACAATTGGCTACTGATCCAACACGCTGGTACTGGTCCCACATACCCTCATATTGATTATCTCCGCAATAGGTGGTTCTGATCCAGCAAGTGGGCGCTGGTCCATCATAGCCTCACATTAAGTATCTCCACAACAATTTGGTACTGATCCAACACAAGGGTTCTGATCCAGCAAGTGGATGCTGGTCCAACATAGACTCGCATTGAGTACCTCCCCAACAATTGCGTACTGATCCAACACGTGGGTTATGGTCCAACATACACTCATATTGAGTATTTCCCCAATGAGTTGGTTCTGATTCAGCAAGTTGGTACTGGTCCAACATAGCCTCACATTGAGTATCTCCCCAACAATTGGGTACTGATCTAACACTTGAGTACTGGTCCAAAATAGACTCACATTCAGTGTTTTCCAAACAATTGGGTACTGATCGAACGCATGGGTTATGGTCCAACATAGACTCACATTGAGTATCTCCAACAATTGGCTACCGATCCAGCTCGTTGGTAGTGTCGAATATTGACTCACATTGAGTATCTCCCCAACAAGTGGGTACTGATCCAACGCATGGGTTATGGTCCAACATAGACTCACATTGAGTATCTACAAAAACAATTGCGTACAGATCCAACACATGGGTTATGGTCCAACATAGACTCACATTGAGTATCTCCCCAACAATTGCGTACTGATCCAACACGCTGGTACTGGTCCCACATACCCTCATATTGAGTATCTCCCCAATAGGTGTGTTCTGCTCCAGCAAGTGGGTACTGGTCCAACATAGACTCGCATTGAGTATCTCCCCAACAATTGGGTACTGATCCAACACGCTGGTACTGGTCCCACATACCCTCATATTGAGTATCTCCCCAATAGGTGTGTTCTGCTCCAGCAAGTGGGTACTGGTCCAAAATAGACTCACATTGAGTGTTTTCCAAACAATTGGGTACTGATCGAACGCATGGGTTATGGTCCAACATAGACTCACATTGAGTATCTCCAACAATTGGCTACCGATCCAGCTCGTTGGTAGTGTCGAATATTGACTCACATTGTGTATCTCACCAACAATTTTGTACTGATCCAACACGATGGTACTGGTCCCACATACACTCATATTGAGTATCTCACCAATAGGTGGGTTCTGATCCAGGAAGTGGGTTCTGATCCAACATAGACTCACATTGAATACCCCCCCCCCCCCCCCTCCCCCACCCTCCACCCCACCCCCCACCCCCCCACCCCCTCCAATTGGGTACTGATCAAGCACGTGGGTACTGGTCTACAGAGACTCACATTGAGTATCTCCCCATCAATTTGGTACAGATCCAACAAGTAGGTACTGGTCCAACGTAGATTCACATTGAGTATCTCAAAAAAAATGGATACTGATCCAAGACGCTGGTACTGGTCCAATATAGACTCCTATGGGATTTCTCCCATCAACTGCGTACTGATCCAACACGTAGGTACTGGTCCAACATAGACACATTAAGTATTTCCGTATCAATTGGGTACTGATCAAACGCGTGGCAGTAGTTGTCAGCAGTACTTTGGTACCGCTCCTGGCTTCTGATTGGTCGAGAG